CTTAAAACAACTTTGTGAGGTAGACAGCACAATTATTATTATTCTCATTTTACAGAAACCTAGAGAGGCAGCTTTCCTTGTTCATTCACACAGCTAGCGTCAGAGCTAGGATGCTGTATTGGAAAGAACATTGGATTTGGAGTCACCAGGCTTGGGTCGCCATCCTGGATCTGCCATTTATTGATTACCTATGTAACCTTTGGCAGGTTACTTGGATCAGATGATCTCTAAGGTCCCTTCCAGCTCTGATCCTAACCTAATTATCATATGACCAATAACCCCACATCCAGTGTTTGGGTTTTTCTTTTTTTTTTTTTTTTTTGGTTTGCTTTCTGTCTTCCACATGGGACAGAGAGTAGACTTATTCTGGTCTGATTGTGGCACCTGCGACCAGATCTAGGACAATTGGGTTGAAATTTTAGGGAAGCAAATTTAAACATGGAAAGAGATATTTCCTAGCAATTATTACAGCTGTCAGATAATGAAATGGATCCCTTCCTGAGTGAGGTCCCAGATTCTGAAGACGTTCAAACAGAGCAATCCCTCCTAGAGTTGGAATTTCTATATTAGACACCACATCATACAGCTGTCATCTTAGGTCTCTTCCATCATTGTAATTCTAAAAACCTCATGCTTTATTTCTTTGTGCAAGTTTTTAATTTCAAACCCTGTAGGGCAGCATAGTACATTTTTTATTGACCCAATACCAACTCAGCTGGTTTAATAGTGAGAAATGAAGTCAAACAACATTATTTCCCCCTACAAAAACCTGTCACACAGGGCCTTGCATAAGCACGAGCACTCAATAAATATTGGCTAATTGATTTTTTGAAAAGATAGCTGGCTTGACTTCTTTCTTCCTCTCTTCCCAATTACAGAGCCTCAGAGTTGGAAGGGATATCATAGGTTACATCCAACTTGTGCTTGAATCTCTGCTGCCTCTTTCCTGGCAATTGAGTTACCCCATCTTTTCTTCAAGTGTACCAGTGATGGGGACCTCATTACCTCATGAGGGAGACCCATTTTACTTTCAGATAGCTCAAATTTTAGACAATTAAAATGTCCTTCTCACAAACTTTCACTCATTGCCTTAGTTCTATCCATTGAGGTCAAACGGAACAAACCTAATCCTTAATTTAATAGGAATAAACAATGTAATAAGGATAAATGAAATATTTGGGTTCAAAAACTCAACTTCCTAATATGATATGGGAGAGATGTAGCTGGATAGCATTTACCTGAAAAAAAAATCTAATGTTTCAGTAGTTTTCAAGGTCAATAAATTATTCCAGAAAGTTAATAAGCTCTTAGATATGTTAGGAAAAGCATGGTGCTGAGATCAGACTGAATCAGGTAATAATTCCATTTCAGTCAGCTTTGGAGCTACATTTTAGGAGGGTTAGTGATATTTTGGAGAGAGTACAGAGGAAGTGAGGATGGTGAAGATCCTCAAGATCAGAGATGTTAAACTCAAAAGTATGGTCTGAGTCAGATTAAAATGTCATTGAGAAACGTTTAATAAAATAAATTAAAATACAATACAACAGAGATGATGTTAATTTATAGTTTTCTAAGTCAATATTTGCCTGCAGGGATCTGTTTCTACTTGAGTTTGACACAATTGCTCAAGATCGTGCTAAGTGAATACTGATTGAAAGAACTAGGAATATTTATCCTGGGGAAGAGAAGGCTCAGAGGGTGTAGGATAGCTATTTTCAAGAATGGAAAGAAGGATTTAACTTGTTCTGCTCAGTCCTAGCAGGTAGAATTAGAAGAAACATGTAAAAATTGCAAAAGGAGGCAGATTTTGGCTTGATACAAAGCCAAATGTCCTACCAATTTTCTGCAGAGCTATTCAAAAGTCGAATAGGCTACCTCAGTGGTTTATGGCTTCCATCTCACTTCAGACCTTCAAGAAAGTACTGAATGAGCACTTGCTGAGATCTCATACAGCAAAATTGTGTTTTAGGAATATATTGGACTAGATGTCTCTGAGTTTCTTTCTATCTCTGTTGTTCTGTAATTCTTCCCCTTGAGAGCCTCTTCAAATCTTGAAGGTAGAGACCTTCTTTATCAGTCTCACATGGCTTCCTTTCTCCAGTCTTAGAATTCTCTGTTCCTCCCAATTAACTAGTTAATCTCCAAATTAACTAACCACTTGAACGGACCCAGTGGCCTTGCTGTTGGGGGGCTGGACAGATGCACATGCATAGTCCAGAGTTAAGCCCTGCCACCCAGGCACTAACCTTGGCGCTTTCTGCCTCATAAAAGATTTGCTTCATTTCTATAGAAAGGCCCCAGTTTTTCTCTCTATGTCTTAAAGCTGGAAAAAAGGCTCTGACAGCTTCTGCTGCCTGTTTTGTTGGGGCAGCTTTGTTGTACCCTTGGAGTAGTTCTGGCAAAGTATTGGCTGAATTTTAAGCGTGAAAAACCCAGCCTCTGAAATTCCATTTGGCTTATTTTCCATCCCTCCTGGAGGACAAAAGGGGTTTTGTTTGTGCTTAAAGTCCTGCAAAGAGTTTGGCTACAAAATAAACTGAGCTGACACTGAAGGAAATACACCATTTTAGGTGACAGAATGTGGTGCTCCAGACTAAGGAAGTGAATGTTTTAATGAGCTGTCATCTACACTGGGCTGTTCACCAGACCACAGGATCATAGACTTGGACCAAAATGGGAACTTTGAATTCATCTAGTCCAGCCCCTTTATTTTACAAATGAGGAAACTGAGGCCCATCCAGCTTAAATAATTTGTCTAAAGTTACAAGAATGAAAAAAAGGCAGAGCCAGAATTTGAACCCTGGTCATTCAACTCTACTGCACCATGGAAAGGTCCTTCTTTGGGTTCCTCTGCAACTAGAGAATCGTAGAATGTTGCAACTGGATGGGACCTCAGAGTTCTATTGGTTTACATTGGTAAGAATGCCAGATTTGAAATGAAAATCACTGAGTTTGAATTTCAGCTCTGCTACTCATTACCTGTTTGATACTACAGCAACCTTGAGAGGACCTGGAAAGGGGAGGAATCATGATAACAATGATGTCTGGAGGGAGGAGAAATCTCAGTGGCTCACCCAACTCACCTCCCAGACCACTACCAGCACTTCTGTTTTGGACTCTACCCTGGATAAAATATATCGAGGGTAGATTAGTGCCAGTGATCAGCAGGCCAAGAAGGAAGGATTTAGATAGGAGGGAATCATAAGAATGAGAGAGCTAGAAGGGACCTCTGAGATAGTTTAATTCAACCCTGTCATGTTCCAGATGAAGAAACTAAAGCCCAGTGAGATTAGTAGAGCTTGAGTTTGAAGCCACTGGTCTTTCCATTATTCCATATGGTGTTAGGAAGGGAAGCAGTGGCAACATGGAAGAGAGGGGCATTCCTGTAGCCAACTACCTGGTGGGGGTGACCCTTCATAACTGAGCTCATGATAACCTGTTGCAGGGAGTCTGGAGCCCCTGGAAGGAACAGAAGAGACAGGATCTCAGAGTTAGAAGAGACCTCAGAAGCAATCTTATTCAACCTTTACACAAACAGGAATCCCCCCTACAAAATATCTGACATATGCATTCAACTCTTCCTTGAAGCCCTTCAGTGATGGGGAACTCATTACCTTTTGAGGTAGCTCACTACTCATTGTCCCTGAAAAGAAATGAAAATCAGAAGGCATCCAGGTGAATGATGAGCTGGCTGTATTGGTAATAAATATGAGAAATTCTCTCCAGCTTCTTAGCTAAATTGTCTCTGTGAATTACCCTGCTGCCAGGATTGGCAGTTCAAAGCTAACTCCATCTCCCAAAATCTCATGAAGTCACAGTTGGCTTTCATATACTAATTGGATAGATTTAAAAGGATATAAACACAATCTCAGCTGGAATCCAGAAAAGGCCACCACTCTCCTTTCTCTTCCAGAATCTCTGGTTTTGAAAATTGGGTTCTATATCATCACAGACACCTAGGAGCCCACAATAATGGCAGAGTGACATATTTAATCTTGGAGCTTCAGTTTACATGCTGACATAAGGAGGAGCACATTCATTAAATGCTGAAGTGGAAATCCTGGTGTGGAATCTCTGATTTCCTCACTCCTGAGGGATCTTTTGATGACATAGACAAGTAAAACTATTCATTAAGAGACAATCAAATGAAAGGGTTTATTTGCTCATATCATAAAGGGTTATTATTTCCAGGACAGAAGTGAGGACATCATTTGCCTAGTATCTGTATCAGCTATCCTTTACTAGTCCTTGAAAATAATAACAATAGCGCTTTTACAGCATTTAAGGTTTGCAAAACATTTTTCATGTTATTTTATTTGATCCTCACACCAACCCTGTTAGATATATGAGGCACACCCTATGAGGCACATAGAGGCTAAGGAATTTGGCTAGTAATCGCCAGAGGTAGGATTTGAACTCTGACCTGTCTGGACTCTTCTCTCCACTATACCATTTAGTGTAGTGTAGTGGTAAGAGCACTGGAATTAAACTTCTGGAGCCACATATCCAGCTCTTCCATTTACTTACCATGTAACTTTGAGTAGCTTCTCTAAGCCTTCATTTTCTCATATGCAAAATGGGGATTATAATAATTATTATGATTATATATATATATGCATACATTGCATATATATTTATTATATACTTAGGGTGGTTGTGATACAAAATGTCTTTTAAAAGATTGTGAAGTGCTATACAAGGATGGTATAAAGTGAAAGAGGTCTGGATTTGGATCTAGAGGATTTATGATCAAATTCTAGTTCAGTTACTTAAAGACCTGTGTGACTTTGAACAAGTCCCTTAACTTCTCTGGCCTTCGGTGTCCACTGCTGTCAAGTGAGGCAATTGGATTAGAAAATGTGTAAGATCCCTTCCAGCTTTAAATTCTATTTTCCAAAATATGAATAGTTGGTGTAATAAATAGAAGCAGCCTCTAGAGACCAGGGCTCTCTCTCTCCATTGATCTTGAATTAGCAGCAGTGTGTGTTTGGGGTTTGTAGGTGATTGGAAGCCGAAGATTAGACCCACCAGCATCCTGTAATGATGCTCATGTTGGAGGACCAAAGAAGATTGGAAAAAACAGTAAGTGTCAGCCATGGTTCGTTATTTGTTTGGGATCTGTTCACAAACATTTTGACTTGGCTAAATTCGTTCCAGATGTGCTGCATTCCCTTGCTTAGGTAAGGATTCTCTTGTTTCTGTGAATTGTTTTCCAGCTGCACTCTCATCTGTTCTATGACATGTAGAGGTCTTTAGAGCCTTGATTTCCTTGGAGTTTGCTATTGCTTCATTTCATCTGTGGGAAATTCTTGACAAGTAGGCAAAATGCCAGACAGTTCAAAGCAACCGTTCTTTCTTGGATCGTTTTGTTCCCATGGAAGTTTACCAGGTCTGATTTCATTTAGGCAGTGCGGTGTGGTGGAAAAGATGATGCACTGAGAATCAGGAGAGATCAGGGTGTTAATCTTGTTTCTTTGATGAGCTAGTGGTATAACTCTGGGCTGGTCATTTTCTTTATCTGGACCTCAGTAAGAAGGTTGGACTATGTGATCTCTAAAAAGTTATTCCAGCTCTAACGGTTTTTGTTTCTGTGGTAAAATAATGGGGCAATGTCTAACCAATACCTACAAATAGTAACTGAAATGTTCAAGAGGTTTGATCAAAACATGCCAAAACATGTTCAAAGAACACATCTTCAATTCTCAGCTCTGCCATTGTTAAACTTGAACAATAAGATTGTATCTGTTTAAAACAGAGTTTGCCTTTTGGTCTATTGTATATATGGAAACTATAAGAAAATGAAAGATCAGTGCATGATCTTGGGAAATTACCCTCTCTGGGCCTCAGTTTTCCTAAGTGGGTGGGCATAAACAATCTCTAAAGTCACCTTTAGTTCCAAAATTCTATATAACCTTCATTCAAAGTTCCTTCTCAAAGCCCACTTTTTATAAATAAATTGCTCTCCTTTTTATTTGAAGATGCTGCTGCTACTGATATTGTGGATATTGTGCTATGGATGGTGGCTGCAAAGGCCAATCAATGCATGATTAACAACCCTATCCATTGAGGAAAAGGATTGGGACCAGGGCTTTCCCAGGTGGTGGGGAGGGAACAAGTAGGAGAGAATCCCAAACTGCCACATTGGGCTCATCTCCAGGCTCTGGCTATCTCCTGAGCCATAGGAACTATTGCAGCAAAGCCTTCAGAAATTCTGGAGTAATCCCAAGTCATCTTGTTCTGTTTTAATAGCTTAAATATTCTTTATTCTATAGTTCTTTCAATATGTGGGAGGATTATGATTCTTTGATGATAATCAACGAGTTTACAAAGCCAAAATCTAAAACTCTTAGGAGGAAAAATCTTCACCTACAATTATATGCATTTACTTACAAATAAAAACATGCAGATATATATGCAAGCATGCATCCATATTTGTTGTTGTTGAGTATCTGGGTGTGCCTCTTTGGATTCCATGTTGAAACTTCAAGAAAACAAAGAAGAGTGAATGTCTATTTTCTTCCGGCCTTTTCATTATATGCGTCATTCCAAATGCTCCCTGGAGTCATTTTTCCTTAGTAACTATGTATGCCCTTGTCCTGGGATCCTTGATGAACGAATTGACAAATGGGAGGACAATTCAACATTTATTGAGCACCAACAATATGTCAGGAATTTACATAGAAGGAGATATTTATGGAACCCAAAGCCTATGTAGGTTGTCATGTGCCCCATAAGCAATGCAGTTATACCCAACACAGATGAAATGTTTCAGCTGATCTTAAACTGGTTTCTGTGTCTGCGGGTATGTTTTAGTGGTTATAAGATGAAACTTAGTGTAGGACCTAGTACTGATAGAAATATTAAACTAGGGATGGAGGAAACAATGTTTCTTGTGCCTAGACATCTTGTTTTGACAAGGAATGTTAACCACATCACAGAAATTTTTTATTTTAAATATTGTTTATTGATAGAGCATTGATAATGTGAAAAATGATTTCTCTTGGTAATCTGTGTCTTGGAGACTCAGAGTTCCACTCTGTCAGCCTTCTGTCCAAAGTTGTTCAGAAGGACATTTCTGATAATGAGATTGCATTGAATCTTCTTATCTTGGTCAAACTCCAACCCAGGTCTGAAATGATTTCATCCTACTCAGGTTTGGGTGGAGACAGACTCCCAAGACTGAGGGTGGTATTGCCTTCGATGGCAGGCGATATTGGCCCCTGTGGACTAAGTGGTCTAAGGCATGTACTCATTAATATCACCCACCTGCTAGTGTGTCGACCAATCACAGTTGATTGGCACTCTTTGGGAATACTTACTCTTTAAAGGGCATATAAGGCTGTACCCCACCGAGCCAGTTCTGAACTGGCCCCCTTGGGGGGGCCCAGTTTTGGACTGAACTCCCATGCAATGCATGTCAAGCCAGTTTAAGAGAAATTAAGCCATGGACACAAGTTTCATTTGCCTCTTTCTTAGAATAAATAAATTGGGGATCACAATACTCATGTGATCCTTTAATGATGTCAAGCTGTTTTCCAGTACAAAAATTCACCTTCTGATCACAAATGTTTTTCTGGTGATACTGCATGGTTGTCATTCCTGGAATGTATTAATTTTCAAAGAGTCAGAGTTGTAGATAACCAAAAGTCCAATGGAAAGATGGATAATGGGCATTAAGGGTAGTGCTATGTATTTACAATGAATGAATGGAGTAAGCATTTATTAAATATTTACTGTGTACCAAGCACTATGCTAAGTTCTAGGGATATAAATACAGTCAGTCAGTCAGTCAATAAAAATTTATTAAGTGCCTATTATGTGAGAGCTGAGCCTGGAGTCAGGAAGACATCTTCCTCAGTTCAAATTTGGCCTTATACACATACTAGCTGAGTGACCCTGGGCAAGTCACCTAACCTTGTTTACCTCACTTTATTCATCTGCAAAATGAGTTGGAGAAGGAAATGGCAAATCACTCTAGTAACTTTGCCAAGAAAACCACAAATGGGGTCACAAAGAGTCAGACACAACTGAAACGAATGAATAACAACAACAATGTACCAGGCAGATTCATCCAGGTCTTTTGACCACAAGTTCTGGCATCTTTTCATTCCATTCTTACCTACCTGGTAGGGCTGTTGTGAAAGAGGCTTCTTATAAACCTAAAAATATTATTGAAATCAGTTCTTGTTGTTATTACTACTATCCATTGCCTGTGATCATGAAACTTTAATAAGCCCTGTATGAACAAGGTGAATGTTCTGCAATAAATACTTACAGAGGCTCTTGCCTGGAGTCAGAAAAAAACCCATAATTCAATCTTTTCTCTAGAGTCCAAGTGATTGTGTTGTGACATAGAGCACTCAATTTGTGAACATAAGAAAAATGAGTTGACCCTGCTGGGTATTTGAGCCTTTAGTTTTTAGGCATTTCAATCATATTAAAATGATTTTTGTACCAATCTACTGAACTATTTTTCCAGAGGGTGTGAAAGCAACTTTATTTGTCATTCATAAAGACTTGGGGAAACTTCATCTCTCTCTCTCTCTCTCTCTCTCTCTCTCTCTCTCTCTCTCTCTCTCTCTCTCACACACACACACACACACACACTGTGGTCCTTGTGTGAAAAATGGCTCCAATAGATTTCTGCTTCCTTATTTCAAGGGTCTACAATTTCATTCGTGTTCATTCAATCCTTCCTGTTTTGATTTGTTTAAATATGAATTAATCATTTACATTGATCACAGCAGACATCCATCATCCTGTGAAGGAGGTTATACTTTTGTTTTTCTCCCAATTTTATAGATGAGGAAAATAAGGCTGGGAGAATTGAAGTGATTTGTCTGTGAATATATTTATTTAGGTTTTCACAAATACCAGCTATATGACCCTGGGCAAGTAATTTAATGTTTCAGTGCCGGGTGTTTTGTGTGTGTGTGTGTGTGTGTGTGTGTGTGTGTGTGTGTGTGTGTGTACAGTGAGGGTGAAGATTGAGGAGTGGAAGCCTACCAAGGTGCCTGTGATGATTCCTGGGGAGGGGTTCCTGCAGTCCTGGGGAAAAAGTGCCTGCAGTGTAGCCTGGGACAGAGCAGGTGCAAGGAGGCACTGACAGAGATATTCATGAGTACCTGTGCCCCAGTCTGAACTGTTCTGGTCACTTGGCTGAGGCTAAAAAGCTGTCCAGGTAGTTCATACTAGAGTGTGATTGGTAGGAGCTCTGGAGCCAGAGGCTCTCAGCCTTTCTTCTTATCTTGCAGTACTGGACCACTCTGAAAGACTCTAGCTCGAGGTTTACCTCCCCAGGAAGTCTTCCTAGATGCTGAGTCCCTCATAGGTCTCTCCCTACCTTTTCCCTATTTTGTCTGCACCTTCAGAGACTCCCTTTCAAATCAATCAACAAGCATTTACTGTGTACTTTTCAAGTGCCAAGCAGTCTTCTAAGCACTAGGGGTACAAAGATGGAAATAAAACAGTCCTCACCCTTAATGAGCTTATATTCTAATGGAGGAGACAGTGTTTGCATAAATAGATACACAAAGTAGATATTATACAAGATAACTTAACAGCAGAAGATGTTAGCCACAGGAGAAGGTGGATACAAGAAAAGCCTCTCTCAGAAGGTAGCCACTTTAGGTGAATATCAAAGAAAGCCAGGGATTCCAAGAGGTAGAAGTGAAGGAGAGCATTCAAGCCAGGGAGCACAGCGAGGGTAAAGGCATGGAGATGGGACATGAAGCATCATGGGTGAAAAATGGCAAGAAGAGCTGGACCTCAGAGTGCCAAGAGATGAGTAATATGTATGAAAACTCACATGATAGGAGGAAGATGAATGGCAAAGAGTTTTACATACCAGAGAGAGAACTTACTATTGCATCCTAGAGGAAATAGGTCACTGGAGTTTTTTAGGCAGTAGGCTGCTTTTTTCCATATTATGTTCACTTTACTTGTGTGAATAATAGTTCTAGGGAGACTTTTACTTCTATACCTTTGTTACAAGAAAATCATTCCCATTGAAGTTTATTTTATAGGTAACTGTTGCCAAATAACTCTATCACAACACAGAAATTCTAGAGATTGAAACATAGGTTTTTGTTCTGCTGAAGCACAAGTTCAGAGCTCAAGAAAAAAAAACCCTAATGAGATTAAGATTTTGATGGAAATCATTAACTAATTTTATTTAAAAAGAAAAAAAGAAAAAACATATTGTCAGGATCAAGAATGAAAAGAATGGAATCACAACCAATGAAGATGAAATTAAAGAAATTATTAGGAGCTATTTTACCCAACTATATGCCAGTGAAAATGACAATATAAATGAAATAGGTGAATATTTTAAAAAATACGTATATAAATTTCTGACTTTGGAAGCAGAGCCAAGATGATAGAGTAGAGAAAGCACTCAGGGGAGCTCTCCTAACATTCCCCTGCAAACAACTTTAAAGTAATGACTCAAACTGAATTCTGGAATAGTAGAGCCAACAAAAGGTCAGAGTGAGGCACTCTCACAGCCCAAGATAACATAGGAGGAAACTGGCCTGGAGCCCACATGGATGAAACACCAATGGTGGGGCTAGGTGTTGGCAGCAGAATCAGCAGCAGCTTTGGAAACTCTCAAGCCAGAGATAGTAAGGGGATTTAGCAACTGGTCAGAAAGAAATTACAGGGTACCCCTGTGGAATACTGGATGAAGAACTAGATGGTATTTGGCAACTCCATGGTCTATTATCTGACATTGTCTTTATTACCTTGGGCAAGTCACTTAACTTCCCCAGTTTCTTTATTTGTAAAATGAGAGGTTTGGTCTAGATGGCCTCTTAGGTCTCTTGTTGCTTTAGAAGTGGGATCCTGGATGAATAGGAACTTAACCACAAGAGATGGGGAGGCATAGCGGTGGGATTTGGGGAGGTAGAGTACCTTCTAGGCAGAGGAAATGATAAAGGTTGGAAAATACAGTGTTCAGTGGAGATGTTGAATGATTCATATTGTCTAGAACATAGAATCAAAATACCATTACTAGTGTAATATAAAGCAGGAAAAGTAAGTTGAAATTAGATTGTGGAGGGTCTTGAAGATTAAGGAAAGGAATAATGTGTATTTATGCATCTTCACATCTACAATAAACATGTGTAAAGTGGTTTGGGGATTGCTACCCCCCCCAGAAAAACCTCAAAGCAACTATGATTTGTATTCTGTAAGACTTTGCTAAAGGGAGAAAATTGGTAGAATGAAACCTACTCATCTCTCCTTTGGATGCTTAGAATGGAACAATAGCAATTTAATGTTCTTTTCTTCCCCCAGGCAGCTGGACAACCAGATTCAGAAGATTAGGCAAGTGAATTGATATTGGCTGAAAGGCCACAAGGCAGTGAATCATGATAAATTACAACAGACTCAGCTGAAGAAAACAAATATGTATGAGACAGCACAGGGGGATGAGACCTCATTATTTATAGGAATGAAAGAGAAAACAAGATAAGCTGGATTTGTAGATATTGTTAAATTGGAAAGTGCGGCAAAACGTTGTTCAAAAACCTACAGAAAAAGATCTGGGAATTTTAGTGGCCCTCAAGCTCAGTATGAGTCAGCAGTGTGAGATAGGATCCAGAACACCTATGCTAACTTAGGCTTCTTTGAGAGGCATGGCATTCAGAACATGGGAAGTTAGAATCCCATTGTACTCTGCCCTCATCCCACGTATTTAGAGCCCTATGTAGAATTCTAGGAGTCACATTTTAGGAAGGATGTTGATATGCTAGAGCATATCTGGTAGCCAGTGGTCAGAATAGGGAAGGACTGAAGACTATGCCATATTACGATTAGTTGAAGAGAAGGCATAGAAAAAACACAACAAGAACTCTACAGAAGAAAGCCTATTCTTCTTAATCGCTGAGGGTGGAACAAGGAGAAATAAGTCAGAGTTGCAAAGGCGGCCAGATAATGACCAGTTATTGGGGATGGTTTATATGAGATTCTCAGTCTGATATGGATTGATCTAATTGGACTCTGAGCTACCTTCCAGCTTTAAGCTTCTGTGATTCTGTAATACTTCTCATATAGGACCTAGCTAGAAAGAACTAGATTTGGAATCAAGGACTTTTATTTTTAGCCATGTTTTCCTAATTACTATCTGTAATTACAGAGAGGTCATTTAGCTACTCGGAGACTGTTTATTCAGCTAGAAAATTTGGGGAATGGATTAGGTCAGGGATTCTTCATCTTTTGGGGTCATGGATTCCTCTGGCATTCTGGTGAAGGCTAAGGAAACTAGGTGGTATAGTGGATACAGGGTGGGTTTAAATTCTGTCTCAGATATTTATTGTTAACTGTGTGGTTTGAGGGCAAGACACTTAATGTTTTTTTCCAGCTTCATTTTTCTCATATGTAAAATTGGGATAGTAATAGTACCCATCTCCCATATTGTGAGGGACAAATTAGTTAATTTATGTAATGTGCTTTGTAAAATGTAAAGTAATATATAAATTCTAGTAATTGTTGTTATTATTATTACTATGACTACTAATATTACCACCATTACTACCACTACTATTACTACAGATCTATTAGAATAATATTTTTAAGTAAATAAAGGAAATGATAAATTTCAGTTAGAGGTTAGTGAAAATAAAAATATATATATTTTTTCTACAAACAAGTTCCTAGATCCTCTGAAATCTATCCACAGATATTAGAGGTCAAACACCCCAGACTAAGATCATGAGACTACAATATTTCTAAAATTTCTTAATGTTCTATACCTTATGATTCAATGATTCTACCTGTGTGATCTTGGATATTTTTCTATTCTGGGTCAGGCCAAACTCGGACAAATCCAGCAATTCAGTCTGGAGATTCAAATTCAAAGGTACTTGTGAACCATAATTTTTGATAAAAACAATTTTAATTGGGATAAGATTATAAAAGAATAAAATCCCTCTTTCCACAATTGGCAACACTTGGTCAAGAATTACACTATCACAAATCCAATTCTCCATAGACCAGAACTTTTAGGCCTCAGGGACCAGAGAAAGCCAAACCAATAATTAAAGCTCTGGTGCCCCACCCCTTAGCCTTCCTATCTCCTTAAAGGGAAATTATCCCAGTCTACATAAAAACGGCTGTTGTTCCTACCATAGTCACTTAACCACTTTGTCTGAGTCCCTTATTTTTAAAATTAGAGAGATTAGAAAAAATGGTCTGGAAGGTTCCTTCTGGCTCAAATTCCTATGATTCTTTTACACCACACTGCCTTACAACAACAACAACAATAACAACTCTGTAAACCATATGTGGCCAGTGGGGGAAAGAGACAGCACTTCATAGTCCCAGAAGGAACCTTTGAGATCATCTTATCTCACCGCCATATTTTACAGACTAGAAAAGCAAGACCCGTAGAGAGAAAGTGGCATGAAGAAAATGGCATCTTACCAATTCCTTCTTTTCCCTTTTATGGTATATTTGCCCTGGCAGACTCTGTTGAGTTGCCAACTTTGGAACCATTGCCTTAAACTATATCTCTCACCTCCCAACTGGCCCTTTGGATTTGGTTTCTCAGAAAATTATGGCCAGGCTTGACTTTCCATTTGCATTAGTGTCTCTGCTTATGACTTGGACCATTTTCTCTTGCCCCAGGAGAGTGTTTCCATCCAGTTCTACTGCCTATGCCTCAGAAGCTTTATCCCTGACCCATGCTGATGGGATTGCTTTTGTTAAAACAAGCTTTGTGCCCAGGGGATTTATTTATTTATCACTGTGTTACCATATTGTAAGATTTTACTTAACTAGAATGAACAATTTAGAGACATCTGAACCCCAGTTAGAACAATAACCACACCTTTTATATCGAGCTTACCAGTCTGGAGTAAATCCTTCCCCTCTTAGAGCTATTCAGTTCAACTCAACAAGCAATTACTAAGCACCAGCTGCATGCTTGGCACTGTGCTATGATCTAAGGCAGGGGTTCTTAATTTTTTTGTTTCATAGACTCCTTTGACAATCTGGTGAAGCATATGTACCCCCTCTCAAATAAGGTCTGTTGCCTACATTCATAAATGCAGGAAATGCTAAATTTCAGCTAGATGTTAGTGACCTTTTATTTCTTCTATTCTTTTTGAATAAAATATAGTCTTCCCGAACCATAGCGTCACCGTAATTTCCATTCCAGTTTCAGTGATAACTTCAAATGTGCTTCCTATCGTTAAACTCTTAAACAGTTTATTATCTCTACTTTATGCCTTTGCTTATAGGTATCTGAGGCCATAAGTTGGTTTGTTGCTTTCCCTCTTCATTTCATTTCTGGTTCTATTCTTTTCTTCTCCCTTCTGTGTCATGCCTGTTATTCTCTGTGGTACTAGATTTCTCATGTTGGGGTAGGCAGTTTTCTCCTTCCCCCTTGTCAGTTGAAAGTCCTCCATATTAGTTTTCCAGGATTCTAGGTATCTATGTTTTTATTGGCCCTGTTTTATTGGCCCTTGTTAGGCCCTTGACAAGATCTCATAATTCCTAAAATTCTAAACTGGGTTCAGAAGTCTTAATCTCATTTTCAATGACTGTCTTAGCCAGTTTGTTAATTTCCCAAATCTGCTTTTTTCTTCTGAATCCTCCATCTTTAATCAGCACTAATGATGAAATGCTACCTATGCCTCCAGGGTCCTCAATTTCTTTCCAACACTCTCTTATCCTTAGCAATGCTATATAGATTCTTCCTGGTGGTATCAACTGTTCCCCCATGAATCATCAGAAGTGAGTAGTGGTTTTTGTTCAACAATTCTCAGATGGTTCTCTGCTGTTTCTCAAATACATGCCCTAGAAATACAGCCAAACTGGCTGCTATTTATGCAAAGTGACAAATGACTCAGTGCCTTAGGAGATACCAATCAGCTACCACTCTTTCCTTCTTCTTCTAATCATCATAGCCTGATCTCTTGCCCAATTGTACCATGCATACATGTCATCATTCCTAGGAGCACAAGAATCCTTCAAATCTATGTATATGGTCTAATAATATCAGTGGTTATTCTTCACTTCCTTATTTGTATCCTGTTCTTCCAATCTATTGATACAGATGAGAATTCCTGTCTCTTTACATGCTTTTTCTTCTTTGTCTCAATCACTCAGTAAACATTTATTGAGTTACTATCATGTTCCAGGCTCTGCTCTAAGCACTAAGGATGCAAAGTTTCCTCCTTGAAGAACTTACTTGATTCCTTCATGAAAGAATTTATTCTCCCTGATAGTCTGGAGAGGAGAAATGTGTTTCCCTAATTGTTTCATTTCTTCTTCTAAACCAGAGACCAACTTGTACTTTGTGTACATATGTTACTTGGTCCTGGCAAACATACAAATATAATCTTCTCTGCTGGTCATCACAGTACTCCCTGCCTTTCATACTTTCTTGAAGAAAATTTCATGGTTCCATGTCTTTTTCATATCTGTCTTTGAGACTCACTATTGTATCAAAGTACCTGTTTATAAGTTCTAAGTCAAGACTTCGACATAATGAGATCCTCCCATTCTTTTTCAAATAACAGCTGATAGCCAGATACTTCCATTTATTTTGCTGACACTAACTAAACCCTTTGGTGCCACCCTTGGGGAAGTTTAATTTTTATATCAGACAAAAGCAGACATGGCACAGGAGCATCATTCCTAGGACACAAGATGAAATCCAATTGATTTGATGATCTAATAGATCTTCACTGTTAATTTCACCTTGGTTTTCTCTATAGTCTTCCCTCTATTTCCCTGGATACTAAGCTCTGCCATATGAATCTTTCAAATACTTGAAAAAAAGCTATTAAGCTTCCTTAGGCCTTCTTCTAAGCTAAAAATCCCAACTTCTTTCAATTAGTCCTCAAAGCCTTTCACTGTTATAGCCATCCAGCTTATAAACCAACATAATATCCAGAACTGAACACAATATACTGGATGTGAAATTTGTGGGAATGTGATGGATTGTAGAAGGATAATATCCCCCTTAGCAATTCCCATCTTGTTCAGGATGCTATTCATCTCTTAATGCTGCCCAAGATTACATTAGATAGATTTTTTTGGTTGCCATAGAAGTTGGTTGGTTAACGTTGAGCTTAAGGTCCACTAAAATTCCCCAGTATGCTAACTAACCATACTTTACTCATCAGGTACTGAAATTAATCCCTATTAAATTTAATCTTATTAGATTCATACAAAAGTTGCTCTCTCTTTGGATCCTGACTTTGCCATCCAGTGTTGGTTTTCCTCTTCAATTCACTAATTTTATGACACTTCCAAATTTAGCATGCTATCTATTGCTTTATCCAAGTTATTGACAAAAAAAAATTGTTAAAGATCACAGGATTAAAGACTAATAGATGGGACTGGGTC